AGAAACAACAGACAAACAAACAAACGCCATAAACTAATGCATGCACGCAATCGTCAGTTTATGCTGCAGCTGCAGCAGTATATACTGCAGCATAATGCAGCAGGAGCTGCTGCTGCTGCTGCTGCTGCTGCTGCTGCTGGTGTTGCTGCTGCTGCTGCTCTACAGGTGTGTGGGATCGGGATCGTCTCCTTGAGGTGCCTGTACACTCCACCTCTCGACCCGCAAGCAGCAAGGACTCTGTGCTGCTGCTGCTGCTGCTGCTGCTGCTGCTGCTGCTGCTGCTGCTAGATGAGCAGCCACACCTACAGCGGCCTCAACCCTAAACCCTAGACACTGAAGCCCTAAACCCTAAACCCTAAAACTCTAAACCCTAAACCCTTATCTGTTGAGTAAAAAACTAAATTATTTCAATATATTACATAATTTTTTAATTCTTCTTTTTGATGAATTTCGCTGTAAACTGTTTTGTATACAAACTAGTATATATACTGTTGTATATATTGGTGTGTATATTAAAATATGTATATATAAATATATTTATATTTATAAATATATATATTTTTTCATCTGTATTATTAATTTTATAGCTTGCAGGGGGCCCCCAGCCCCAATAGAGCCACCGGTCAACCCAGTGAGAGGGGGCCCCCCTCCTGGCTGCAGCAGCAGCAGCAGCAGCTGCTGCTGCTGCTGCTGCTGCAGTTTTCTGTATTCAGCAGAAATAAATGAATAAAAATAAACAAAATAAATTCATTTAGGTGATTGAGACAAAAGACTGAGGCTGCGGCCGCCTCAGCAGGCGCGGCCCCGCCGAGGCCCACTCAATAGAGCAGCAGCAGCAGCAGCAACAGCAGCAGCAGCTGCTGCTGCTGCTGCTGCTGCTGAGGCGGATTCCGCTGCTGCTGCTTCTCCATGATACGGGCGACCTTCTTGCTGTTGTGGAAGGCCGATCCCTGGCTGGATAAGGGGCCCCGCCTGAGCAGCTGCTGCCGCAGCTGCAGCAGCAGCAGCAGCAGCAGCAACAGCAGCAACAGCAGCAACAGCAGCAGCATCCACACACCTAAGCCTATTGAGTCATTTCCTCCTCCACCACCATCACAGGCTAAACATAAGCAGCAGCAGCAACTGTTGCTCCCTCACCCATGTCGCAACCAGACCAGGGGGCCCCTACAGAGGGGGCCCCCACCGCGGGGGCCCATACAGAGGGGGCCCCCGCCGAGGGGGCCCCTACAGAGGGTACAGAGGGGCCCCCCAGCTCTGAAGCGGGTGCTTTGAGTGAGTCTTTGGGGGAGGCTGACGATCGTGGATCCTCCCCCAGAAGAGAGGAGGAGGCACCAGCAGATGCTGCTGCTGCTGCTGCTGCGCAGCAGCAGCAGCAGCAGCAGCAACAACACGAGCTGCAACAGGACCAAGAAGAACGACAGCAACAACAGCAGCAGCAGCAAGAGCAGCCGCAGCAGCAGCAGCAGCAGCAGCAGCAGCAGACACAAGCAGAGAGTCCCGCACGGCGAGGCAGCAGTATGCTGAGGCATTCGTCCTCCAGCTTGGGTGGTAGCAGCGGCAGCCTGGCGCAGCAGATGAAGGCTCTAGCAGCCATAGCAGAGGC